AAACTAACAATGGACGGGGGGCGGACTCCTGGATGGAGAGCAGGTGACAGCTGGCAGGGTGGTGGGTGTCAGGGGTGGGGGGACTGAGGAAAAAGGACCCGTGACACGGACACCGTGTGGTGACTGCTGGCGGTGGGGGTACAAGGGGACTAAGTGGTAATGGGGAAAATACAAGTGCATTTTTAAAAGTGCATTCAAAGACGGCCTTATGCTGGAGAGCCTGGAGTAAGCACCCCAAACCCGAACGCCGTCTGGGGGACGCGGACGTCTCCCCTCCCCAGCGCTCGGCACTGAGAGAAGAGGCGTCTTCAGCACTTGGCAGAAAACTGTCAAGAACTCCAGGAAGCCTGCGGGTCCCCAGGTCGTCTTGACTGCGGCCAGCGTGACGTCACAGTTCCAGGGCCCGTGCCAGACCTGACCCACGGACGGACTCGTCTCCCTGATTCTGCCTCCGTCCGCAGAGTTCTGATTTCATTTTCGACTCGGAGGCTCTGCATTTGCACACAGTTGTCAGAGAGACTCCACCTGCCCTTTGCCCACTTTGCCCCGACGGTGCCGTCTCTCTCAACTGCAGGCCAGGTTGAAACCAGGATGTAGACGCTGGCAGAGCCACGGCTGCCCCCACCCGATCCTTTGTGTCCCCTTCTACAGCCACACACCCGCCCCTCCCACCCTGTCCGCCTCTCTCCCCCCCAGCAACCACTCCTCTGACCTCCCTGACTCTCACGAAGGTCATGGCAATGGGACCATACAGTCTGGAGCCTCATGGGTCAGCTCCTCCTGCTGGGCCCCCTGCTGAGGTGTGAGCAGGCAGTTACTGTGTCGCTGGGTGGTGCCCCCGACTGGGGTGTGCGACCGTGTGTCTCAGTGTGCAGCTGTCGCAGGACTTCTGCACGGGCTCTGGCGTGCGGCTGTGAAAGATCGGAGCGCCACAGACATGGTGCACAGGGTTGTGTTGTGGGAGCCCCCCCCCCTGGGCTGGGTGTCCGTGCGTGGAACTGCTGGGCCACGTGGTGGTTGCAGGTTTCGTTCTTGAACGAACTGCCGTTTCCCAGGGGCTGTGTCGCCTGACAGTCCCCCCGCACGAGCGCCGGTCTCCCACGTCCGCGGCAGCCTTTGGTGCTGTCACTCTTACTGCAGCCATTGTGCTGGCTGCGTGGTGAGACCCACTGTGGGTTTAACCCGCAGGCCCCTCAGGTCGACGACGCCGGCACCTCTGCACGGGCTGCTTTGCCACGTGTCCCTCCCCCTCAGCATCAGGACCCTGCAGCAGGCTGCCGAAAGCACCCGACGTAAAGGAGGAGGGGCTGCGCAGTGGGTGGGGGCGACTTTGCAGCCACAGTGAGACAGGAGGCAGGTCCAGCTGCCACAGGAGGCCACATGGCCTCTTCTCCCTGGGACATCGCTCTGTGACACCTGGGGAGGACTGACTGTTGTCAATGCCCTTACAGGCTTCTGTAAATAGTTCCTTGAATACATCTCTCTTCTTCTACTAGACCCTAAGCACCTCGAGGAAAAAGTCTATATCTGATGTATCACTTAATTCTCACAGGTACTGGCACGTCGGAGGAACTTAACATTTGTGCTGAAGGCCCCAGACCCCCCTCTGACGGATCCTGCATTTGAAGGGGGGACAGAAATCAAGTGAGGAGGGCCTCGGAGAGCTGTGTAAGGCCTGGCTCTGGAAGGAGCCGCAGGGAGAGATGAGGCGTGGAACAGGGACCCGGCCCCTGCTCGGCCGTGCGGAGGGCAGGCAAGGAAGGCTTCCTGGAGGAGCTGGCTTGATGTGAGTTTACAGGAACTCTGGAGACAGGGGTGACAGGCAGATGAGTGGGGACAGACACACAGATGCGTGTGTCGCGGGCAGGTGGGTGAAGGACAGGTAGGCTGGCCGAGGCACCTCTCTACACACAGTAGGTGGGTGGACAGTGATGGACGGATGGGTGCATGGGAGAGTGTGTGTTGGAGGGGATATGTCGTCTTCCTGTGAAGGGACCAATTTGAGGATGTGAATTTCAGAGACAGGAAGAGTTCTCTAGACGGGAGACACAAAGCAGAGGGTGAAATAAGCTGGAAGAGGCAGAGGGTCCGGAACAGCAGTCCTTTGAGTCATTCTAGATTCTGTTAAGGGGTCTCCTCCTGAAACCAAATTAGCATATAAGCAGCGTGAAGCTGGTGGCCTCCAGGGACTGCGACCCGCCAGCCTGGCGGTGTGTGCCTGCACTGAGACCCTGGAGGCTCGGGGCGGCCCCGTGTGGCCTCCTCAGAGCCTCTGTGAGCATCTGCACAAGGACGGAAAGATGTGCAGGCGGACTCGTCTCCGGACCTCACCCAGGCTCCCGATTTGCTGCCGTTTTCTGCTAACCCCCGGCGTGGAGGCCAGAGACTGGGAAACTTTTCTCTGAGAAGCAGGAGGCTTGTAACCGATTCAGTTACGCATCGGAGTCACTGGGGGGCTTTCCAGCACTGACTCATCGGCTCTGCAGAACCTTTATTTCCTTCACTTTCTAAAATTTTTTAATTCCACTGTATTTTCGGAATTATCTTGTACTGATTTCAGGAGTACAGCTTGGTCGGTCACACACGTACATGGCGTTCCCCTCGGTGCTGCGGGCTGTGTTCCCCGTGCCGGGCTTGACGCCCGTCCCCAGGACAGTTTTTAACCAGCGACCTGCACTTCCTCCCTTGGCCTCTCTCTCCACGTTTCGGAGCCCCCTCCCCTCCGGTGACGCCCAGTCTGTTCTGCGTTGGGGAGTCTGGTCAGTCTGGTTGGTTCGGTTATTTTGTTCTTCAGATTCCGCAGTTAAGTGAAGCCACACAGCATCTGTCCTTCTGTGACGTATGTCCCGGAGCACAACGCCCACCTGGGCGTCGGTCTGAGCCCGCCCGTGTGGTTCCGTCAGGCACTGCCCTTCTTTTCACGGCCGAGTGACACTGTCGTGCTGATGTGCCACGGCTATCTCGTCCGCTCGTCTGCTGGGGGCCCTGGGGGCACATGGGCCACTCCCGTGGCACGGGGACGGCAGACAGCGCTGCGGTGAGCACGGGACACACGTGCCTTCCGACCGGTGTTCCTGGCTGCTTGATAAAGTCCCGAACGTGGACTTGCTGGGTCATAAGGCGGTTGTATGTTCAGATTTTCGAGGACACTCCATACTGCTCTCCACAGTGGCTGCCCCAGTCCGGACTCCCACCAGCGGTGCTCCAGGGTCCCCTTTCTCCACATCCTCGCCCGCGCTTGTTTGTGGGTTTATTGACAATAAAGGTGCAATAAATCACAAACTACATTGAATTTGTAATTTAAATTTAATATTTGTTGAATATTAATATTAGGGTCATTGGACAAACGTGAATGTCAGGAAAGTCGAGTCACTGCCGGTGAGTGGGCGGGGGAGGGACCAGCTCATCTCTCTCCATCTCACTTAGCAGAGAAGCGGCCAACACTCTCCACAGTTTAACCTGTCTCCCCAGATACGACTGAGAGGTCAATCTTCCCACGTTGTCACTGGGGTTCTACTTCTGCTTTCCTTCTCAACCTGTATCTGCAATGTTAAGGTCACGAGGCCCAAGAACTGCGTCCACTCAGTAGTACGGGGCACGCCGCTGGGAGACCCGACCCTGGATCACACCTAATCGAACATCGGTTCCGGTTCTGCGTGGCCGCTGCTCACTCAGGGAGAACAGGCTTGTGGGCGGGCCTCACCCCGACGGCGCAGCGGGGCCCACTGCATCCTCCACCCAACTCGGGCAGCTGCGTGTCCAGCACAGGGGCGGAGGGGGTGGGACGCTGTCCTTCACCGACGAGCAGACACCTGGTCAGCGACAGGAGGCCATCGGGCAGGGAAGAGTCACACACGCGGGGAGACCCAAGCCTGACCCTTTGTGGTCCTTTGCCAGGCTCCCCCCTCCTGAAGGTCTCGCGCTCTGGAAAGGCCGAGACTGTCTCCTGCATCCTGGCACTTGACACCCAGCCTGCTGCACGTGAACGATGCCCAGGGCCCAATTTTTCAATGAATGGACACAGACCACGTGTGCTTAACAGTAACAGTTAGATTAATTCACACGAACAGGTTGGAACAGTGCCTGAAACCAACCACACAGCAGACTGAATTCTTACGAAATGAGATTTAGAACAGAAAAGAATTTCTAGCAGTTTGCCTTGCACTGACCTTGGAAAAGCGGGTGGGAGCTGGACACGTGGGTGTGAATGAAACCAAAGGCACGGGGCTGGGATGTGAGAAGAGCCGGGCCGACCGCAGGCCGAGTGGGGCGCGGCGCTGCAGGCCACACAGGCCAAACCGAACCGAGTCCCAAGGCCACCACTGAACAGAAGCGACAGCGGGTGCACGCACAGCCCGCCCAGTCCGTCGGACGTCCTTCAGGACCTACCCACCTCCCGCCCTGACCGGTGTGGCTCGGTGTGCTGGCTGTTGTCCCACAGACTGAAAGGTTGCGTGTGACTCCTGGTCAGGGCGCACGCCTGGGCTGCAGGTCAGGTCCCCGGACAGGGGCTTACGAGAGGCTACTGACCAGTTTCTCTCACCTTCTCGGCCTTCGCTCGCCTACCACCTCGCGGTTCCCAGGAGCCGCCTGCGGTCACAGTCGTCCTGGTCTGGGGAGGGCACCGCAGCCTTCAGAGCCCCCGAGGACACCCGGGGCTGTGGGTGTGCCTGGGTGTGCGTGCCTGACCTGCCCTCAGCTGCTCCGGGGCCGTGATGGAGTGGACGAGGGTGACACGAGCCCCAGGACAGTCCATCCGAGGACCCGAGACCACCCCTTGGTGACTGATAGGCAGGGACCGCCTGCAGCGTGGAGAGGTTGGACCGAGGGGCGATGCACATCCTCGGGGAGGGCGGGCAGGACGCAGTTTCGTCACACTGCACACGGTTGAAAACCGACGAGCTGCTGGTCCCAGACCGTGTCAGCCGTGGGCCCCCACAGCACCTGAGTGCTGTGGACGGGAACATCGCGGCGCCGTTGCAGACAGTGTGCGCCAGAGCTAAAACACACACATCTAACTTTATTTATCACTGTCACTTAGAGCCTGATTTTATAAACAAAAAGACATTAGGAATTCTGTATCACCAAAATTTAAACAGTAGAAATAGCAGTGGCTTTATGGGTGTAAATTATATACATTAAATCAAATAATTGGAGATTTTCTTCAATATGGAAACTATACAAATGAAACAGATGGCAGAAGGACCTAATAGAAGTGTTTTGTTGCGGTGGCCGATCAGTCACTTTAGTCCTAAATAAAGATTCCGAATGGCGGGCTTCTGCTGCTGTGTTTCATGTTCACCTGCATTCTGTCTGACTCAAGCTACTCGACCAGAAGGTAGGATTAAAAAGACGCTCAGCTTTACAGCACAAGTTTTCCCGTCTAGTTACGACCATCACAGAAAAGGACCTGGTGGTGCCCATGCCACCTGCGGCTCCCTTCTGAATAGTATGGAAAAAATTACATTGAAAGTCAAACAGGTACCAAAAGATGGAACAATCATGCAGTTCAATAAAATGTTGGGTTTGGCTCATCTGAAAATCAAGCAGTGAAGCGCATCACAGACTGTCGCTGACGTGGTTTCAGGAAGCAGGCATCGGAGAACCCCACTCGTGCCACTGGCGCCCCCTCAGTCGAGGACGGGGATTTTGTAGGCCACCGTGCTGCTCACCTTGTGGATGGTGGTGGTGAAGGAGCGCAGGCGCACCTGCTCGGAGTCGGTAATGAACTGCGGCCCCGACTCTTCCCACTTCTCAGGCACAACCAGATCTTTGTCCGTATAGATCAGCAGATCAAAGGAACCTACACGGAGATAAGATCATCAAAGGGCTTTAGGTTCTGGTCACCTGGGTCCCTGTCTTCGGTTCCGAACCACTCAGTGTCAGTAAAGAGTGTGGCTCGGTCTCTGAGCAGTTATCCCCTCCCCAGTCTAGGTGCAGAAGCGCCTGCACTCCTTCCACTTTGTCCTACGAGACATGAAGTCCTGCTGTCCTCACGGAGAAAACCGCTACGCAGTGTTAGCAGACAGTGCACAGTCGCGTGTGAGAGCCCCGGGGAGCGAGCGTGCGCCCTGGGACCGCTGCACCCTGTGCTCGTCCAGGGGACAGCGGAGGAGGAGGGAGTGACTAGGGGGAGCGCCACAGTGACATCGGTCGTGTTAATGACACATTCGCGAGTGTGCAGAAAATAACCACAGTGAGAGGACCCCCGCCAGACGGTCAAGAGCGAGGGCTGCGGAGCACTTTCATTCCTTGCCTTTGTAGCATTTCCAGGTTTTCTGGAACGCATACCACAGCTTCTGCTTTCTAATGCTTTCCCCTCATTGACAGTACATATTACTAAGGAAACACTGACTAAAGGGAACAGTAGCTTAGGCTTTTCCCCAACAGACCTAAGCCCGTAAGAAACTGTGCGAGGCTTACAGGGAACTTCCAGCAGCGGCAGAAACGTCACGGTAGCAGTGATCTGTCTGATCACCGAGCGGATTTCGTCTTGGATCGCTTTCTGAGACTTCTCTCTGGGTGTGCTGCAAAGAAACCAGTCAGTTCCCTTTAGTTTCAACAAGTTATTTCAAACGTTGGTGAACTTGTTTATTTGATGGAATGCTCCCCCAAATCAAATAATCCATTAAAAAGGAGGTCTTTTATTTCCCCCTTTTAGATGAGTGTAAGTGTATCCTTAGGACCCGCTCCTAGGAAGCACAGCGTGTGTCTCCACCAGCCCGCTCGTCCCACCCCGCTGGTTTTGTGGCTGGTCTCAGTACCGGGTCGCCCAGTTTCAAATGACTGGGAAATCTGTCAGGTGGTCCAGATGAGGAAAACCCCACCACCTCTGAAACTGAAAACAGCAGGCAGTATCTAAAACACATAGTTGGTCTCATCCTTTAATGCTTAAATACCGAACCCCTGCTGCCTCAAACTGGTTTTATGAGCTACACATTTCCTAACACAGACCAAAGGCTTTAGAAACAAGCTTGACTACACTATGAGAAATGGTTCCAAGTTCACAGGCAGCAGGCCCAGGGCAGGGCTCCACATCAGCGGACCAAACCAGGCACTTCCTGTCTGGGGGTCTGGACACCGCAGAGCTCAGGACGTGTCTTAGGGTGTCGGTGGCAATAAAGGAAAGGCATTAGAGCTGCATCACAAGCCAGGAGAGTCCAGGGTAACCCCTTTGGTGAAAAGGCCTTTGACCAAGTCCCTGAAGGGCCCGTCGAGCACATCACGTGCAGTGCTGGACACACCGCGTGGACATACCACGTGGACACACCGGAAACTCGCCGCTTTAGACTAAAGGCAGTCACTAAGGGTGCTACCCAGACACATCAATGACACATCAAAGTGGGCAGGATGGTTTTCCATAGGAGACTGAAAATCTAATTAGCACAGGTTAGAAAAATACTATACTTTATAGGAAACTAATTCAATATAGTTAGAACTCATTTTACTAAACAAATTTTGGAAAAAAATACAAAGTCTGCCCAGAAGGTGTCCGGCCATGTACTACCTAAAAATAGATGCTTATCTGAGAAGACACAAGACACACTGTACATGGAACAAGGACGCCTCAGTCCCCTGCGAAGTAGGCACCGTGGGACCTCACGCAGTTCTAATCGCTATCAGCCACCACATCGTCCTTTCCTGAATCTCACTGACGGTCTGAAATCTCTTCCCTTTCAAAGGTGATTTTAGTTTGGGGAAAAGCCAGAAGTCACAGGGCACCAAATCTGGGCCACAGGGGGCTGAGTCACCTGGGTGATGTGATGTTTCTCAAAAAAAAACTCTACATGAGACGTGATGTTGAGCGGGCACATTGTCGTGATGAAGCTGCCGATCACCAGCTGCCCACAGCTGCGGCCTTCTGAATCATCCAAATAGTTTCCGCGGAGGAATGTTCAAGTTCAATGCAAAATTTCATACAGATTTGTTGTTCTACTTGCTCAGTCATTTTGAATGCGATGGCCACAGTCCACAGGCTCACTCGGTGGTGTCTACCACCCCCACTGACTAGTGCAGTGAAGTCATCAACGTTCGCACACGCACATTCCAGTCCACTCTCCTTGGCTGCCAGGTCACACTGATGTTGCACAAACTGTTCTCATTATACCGACACTGGCGGGACTTTTTCCCAGACAGGACTCATATATGAAAGTGGAAACAACCGAATGTGTGCTTACCTGTCGTCTTTGGCAGTCTTGTCACACTCGATGTCAAACTGCCATCTTTCAAGGACCTCGCCACTTTCGATGTTCGAGATGACCACCACCAGTTTCTGAACGGAGCACTTGTACAGCCAATCTGCAATGCACGACAGGCGCCGGTTTGCTCTGCTGCGGCACAAAGCCACTCTCCTCCCCGCCCCCTCCTCGCCCCCAGCAGACTCTGGCCACTGCATTCCGCGGGGCCTCCGGCCTGGCCAGCCCCTCCCCACGTTCAGTATGCGCAGCTGGGACAGTTCCGGGTGCAGAGGAGCGGCGGACCGCGGCTCTCCCACCCCAGTCCATGTGAGAACACGGGACAGGTGCTGATCGAAGCACTGCGCCAATAGAGGTGACATAAGAGTTGTGATGACCGTGAGGTGCACGGAAGGTGAGGTGCACGGAGCAGTGAGAGCTTCACGTGGAGAACCGAGTCCCCCAGGAGCTCTCACTCTGCAAAGGCCTGACTCCGGCTCCGAGAACCCACAGCGTGAAACACGGAGGAGGACAGGGAAGAGCATCTGACCAGAGGAAGGACCGAAATGCCCCAACAAGTGCAGTCGAGGAAGGAGGAGAAACAGGTGAGGCTGCCAGGTGAGTAGGGGCCGACCACGCAAGGTCACGTGGGCCAAATTCTCAAGACTCTACTTCAGGAATCCGGGAAGGCACTGCTGTGTTTAAAGCAGCGTGTGATGTAACCAGATTTGCACATCAAACTCTTGCTCCGGCCGAGATGTGGAAAACGGAGTGCTGGGACCTAGGACCAGGCTCAGGAGAGGTGGGGTTTAACTGTCACGGTTAACTGGATCACTGTGACAGGGAGCAAGAAGAGCGAGTCATGTCCCTGGTTGGGTGACCAATCCAGTCACCGAGAGGACGGAAGAGTGAAATGGAGACGGCCCTGGGTTCAGCTGTGCACGCTGACTCTGAAGCGTCCCTGAGAGAGCTGCACAAAGGCATCGGGGGCCATTCCCCAGGGGCCGGGAGACAGTGAGGACTTGGGGGTCCACACAAGGCCGTTAGAGAGGCCGCGCACCGACAGCCACCTGGAGAGACTGCGGCGAGAAGAGGGCGGAGACGGAGCCCTAAACTGGTCTTTTAAAGAGAAAGAAAACACTTCAGTGACACTTAAGACTTGTGGGCCGCCCAGGTCCCTGTTGCACGCTCTTTTCAAAACAACCCTTTAAAAACGTACAAACGCCCGTAGCTCACACACAGGCAGCACAGCCCGCAGGCCGGGTGCTGGAGGCGGCCTCGCTGACCCCCGGCACCGACCCGCAGCTCTTCAGCGTTTCAGTTCCAAAAAGGAGGGGACTGGGTGGGGTGTGAAGGTCTGGGGCAGGTGGTGATTTTGTTTATCTTTTAAAACTGGAAATAGTTCACATCAAAACAAGTCAAAAGCACGAGAGAGAGACAGACAGACAGACAGACACAGTTCACAAGCAGAGCCCATCAGGAGGCCAGAGGGCTGGGCCTGGAGGCAGACTGAACTAGCTCCCTCCAGGAAGCGAGAGTCCTCCGTTTTTACCAGCACACAAGGCGGGTGCCGAGCAGGAAGGTCTGGAGCACGTGAGGTGAAATGTTGGCAACGCAACTTGGGCAAGTCCGTCCTCTCCATCAAACTGAGATGGAAACGTGCCTGCAGCTGGCTGCGGGCTCCGGGCCACGCCACCTGGGCACAGCCCTGTTAAGGGCTGTGGGCCAGTTAGCCCTCGTGTTAATCAAAACAGGATGTAATTTAAAATACAAAGCTACTTGAAACAAAAAATAGGATACAGGAAATTTTTAAAAAGCACTGTAGCACTTTTTGGAACTAGTACTTTGAAAAATCAAATGGCAAGATAGTGAAAAACATCCTACAACTCAGAAAAATCAAAAGTGAGAATTCCAAGTGGAAAGAAACATGAAAGAGAAAGTAATGGACTTCTAGAAGGAGAAAGAAATCAATGCAAAACAAGTTTTGATCCAACAAAACAACTTCTTGACCAAAGAACATTCAGAAAAGGTTTAAATTTAAGCAGGATTTCTTAAAAACAAGTGGAAATAGGTAAAAAATTAAAAAAAAACTCTACTGGGTGCTCTGTTATTTAATAGTTCTATTAATAGTTCTATTTTAACTTTTATGTTTAGCTGCCAGGTTGAATCCCCTTTTATTTCCTTAGTCTTAATGATAGCTTTAGACTTCATGCAGGTAGAGAAAATACATTGTATTAAGAATATAAAGGTCTCCCCGCCCACAATAAATACCATAACTATGTAAAATTCCAACTGTCTCCATTTGGTCACACAAAATGCATGTCACTTTCTAAGCAAGTTGATGAAGACAGTTTTGTTAAGCTGTATCAAGATTCCTAACACCAATTTATATCACTTGCTTCCTCCTGAGTCACTAGTTGAGATGGCAGTTAATTTCACACTTCTGTGTACAAAGCCGAAAAGTAACCACCAAGACGCTAGAAAATGTGGATTCCAGAAGGCCTGCAAAACTCAACTATTTCCAATAAATACCTTTTAGTTGTTCCACCACATTATTTAGGTATTTCATAAGGTCAGGATCAGTAGTTACAAGCAAGGTGAGTCCATATTTCTGCACCCGAGTAAAGGTTTCGGCGGGGTAAATGCCACGCTGATACAAAATGCTGTTGATGCCAAATGCTGAAAGCAGAAATGGTAAAGACAAACCATTATCGTTTTGTAACACTGGAAAATGAATCCTATTTAGATGTGACTAGGGTTTCAGGTTTCACGAATAGTATTAAGCTGTGAACGCCTAAATATGTGTTTTTGTGTCTTGCTGAAAGCAGAGTATCAAGTGCCACTAAACACCGTCTAAATCTTCTAAATAAAATATATACCTCCATTTACGCGGCGATAAAAGAAAAATGCCAAACACACGGCTTACCGCTGACAAATTTCCTGTCATTGCACTCCGAGCCCAAACTCAGACCTTGTTGTGCTCAGGATATGTCAGAGAAAGTGGGCGCCCGCAGACTCCGCCCTCCCTCTTCCTCCCCAAGTCCGGCCAGCTTCCAGCAGCAGGTACAACCCGCCCGGGCCGGCAGGGCACCGCCCAGAGGGCAGTCTGCCTACCCGCCCCGGTCCTGCGGCGGAAGCGGGGGCGGGGACGGCGGTGGCGGCGAGAGCTCCCGGTAGTCCCGCCCCCGCCGAAAGGCGTCCTAGGTCGCTGGGGGTGGGGGGGTGGGGGGGGTGCGGGAGGCACTTCCCGGAGCGCTCCCGGAAAGAGACCGCTACGCCAACAGAGCCTCCGGGGCACCGGGTCCTCCTCCATCCTCACAGCATCGCGCCCGCCTCCTCCCCTCCTCCGATTCCCCGCAGGGCAGGAGGCCGGCACCCCGGGCCCAGCGGCCGCCCGCTCCCCCGCAGAAGCCGAGCCCCCGCCCCGCCGCCCTCCCGCCCGGCCGCGCGGACGACTCACAGAAGAACTCCGCCACGATTTCGGCGCTCCCACGCAGGGTGATGCCCTGCTCCCGGGAGAGCTGCCGCGCCATGGCCAGGCCCAAGGCCGCGGCGCGCGGCCCCAGCACTCGGCGACCGCAAGGCTCCGATGGGCTCCACAGCGGGTCCCGCCACTGGTTTCAAAAGTAACGACGCAGCTCGCCGTCGCGTCTGCGCAGGCGCCAGATCCCGGCCCGCCCTCGCGGGCGCTGGCGCGTTGCGCGGGCGCTTAAGGAGGCGTGGTCGGCAGTTCCGGGTCGTGGGCCGCGGCCCCAGGCGTGGGTTCCCTGCGGGTGGAGCGCGCTGGGTGGGATCGCGGGAGGAGGGCGGGTGGCGGGGTTGGACGCTGCTCCCAGGAGCGCCCCAGAGCGTTTGGAAGATGTGTTCAGAGTGCCGCGAACAGCCCCAGGGTCGCCAGTGGCCCGGGCCGCGGCGTGCAGCGGTCCCCGAGGGGAGGAGCGGGCCCGGGCCGCGGGGCCCGCAGCCGGGCCGCCGGGGGCCACGTGGACGCGAATAGCTTTTCGGGGCGCGGACGGCCGAGTCCGGAGACTCAGCGTCCGGGAGCCGAGTCCGCGGGAGCTGGCCCCCGGCTCACTAGTTTACTCCTAAAGCGGCCACAAAAATTACCTGTAAAATGGGTCGGGGCACTTCCCGGACCGATGTGTTACTTCGAGGAGCGCCAGGCGACGCTGCTCCGGCCGCGTAGCAGAGGACACCGGCCGGCGGTGTGAACCGGGCCAGGGGTTCCTCCGGGACCACTCGTGGTGGGCGGGACTCGGGCTCGTCGTTCCTGCCCGGAGGTCAGTCCCGGGCCTTCGCCCGGTCGCTCTGCCCTGGGCAGGTCACGGGGGCTGCCTGGCTCAGCTGGTCCAGCCGTCTCCCGGAAAGTCCCCGCCCGTGCGCGGCTCTGGCCGCGCACACGGCGGGTTATGAGGGGTGCGCCCGCCAGGGGTCGCCAGTGCAGGGCCGTCTGCAGATGCCGCCTAACGCCGGTAGATGTCAGGCTGGATCCATTTAGGGGTCAAACAGTATAAGGGGAACAGGCCGGCCTGACCCAGCAAAGCGCGTTTGGCATTCTTCGTCTCAGCGGGACGCGTGTGCCCCTGTGTGTGACTCCCTGCCCCCGGGAACCTTGACGGGAGGCGGGTTTCTGCATCACGCTGCCCCACACGACGCTCGGCCCTCTCCCGGGAGCTGAGTGCCCATACTCAGTACAGTGGGGACACCTGTGGGTTTCCTTGTAGCAGGGACTGGGAACGCTCCGAGGAGGCAAATGATTGTTAGTATAGTTTGCAGATTCTAGAGCTTTAAAACCTATACATGAGTTTTCTAGATGGAGAGCAGTATTCATTAAGTACTTAGTGCCTTATGAGGAGCTAAAAGAAATAAGGTTGAGAAGGCGCGGTCTGTAGTTTGCGGGGTTGTAGCCTAGTTTTGTTAAATACAAAGCCCTAGACAAAGAAACGATGGGAGGCCCGGCTGTGCAGCTTTCCCGCCGGCCTGCTCCGGCATCTCTTGGTGAGGCGCTGTCCTCTGCCTAGAAATTCCGTTTCATCTGTTCCAACCCCTGTCACCTTTATCCTCTGTTCAAGTAAATACCGGTGCGTTAAGGAAACTCCCTTTGACCCCCGGGACCCCAAGGCCCTGCTCTCGCACATCCCAGAGCAGCCCGCGGGCTGTTTCGGCCCAGTCCCTTTCACGCTGCAGCTGCCTCGTGCGTCACCTTCGCGATCACGACGGCTGATCCGTCTTTCCTACCGGGCAGCGCGCCCACGATGGCGTTTAGCGGGGGCTCCGCAAATGTGTGTGGAACGCGCAAGCATTTGAACCGTTACTTCACGGAAGAACCCAAAACAGTGCAGCTGGAGAGCAGGTCGATGGATAAGTGAGACGGCTTTTAGGGACCTTCGAACACGCATCCGAGTGGATGGAAGGTGCCCGGGATTTCTGGGTTCTCGCGGTCGCCAAAAGGAAAGGGCTACATTCAGCAATGGCTGTAGAACAGAGAACGACCGAGCCAGTCTGCGTTGGGCATGTTGCGGAACGTAGGTTCCTGGCGTCTCCCCGCTGGTCCAGCGCGTTTCCCGCAGCCGCCGCCGGGGGCGCTCGGGCACTCGGACCTGCGGGCCGGAACTGAGATGTGCTGCAGGACTTAGCATGGAAAACAGTGTCACGTTGATACGGTTTTAAAAGGATTGCTTATTGAAATTGCACTTGACATGCATCGCAGTAAATAAAACATTATTAAACAACCCCACTCGTGTCTCCTCAGTTCTCAGTCTGGCCACGAGAGCACCTAAATGCCGGATGCGGCCCGCGCCCCATTGCGTGTGGCAGCCGGTTCTCTGAGCTCTGGGAGAAGGTGCGCTGTAGCCCGCGCCCAGGAGGAGCCCGGGGGAGGCCCTTACGTGGCATTCGGAAGAGGAGATTGATGGGTCTGAGCAGTGCAGGCCTCCGAGTCGGGAGTCCGGGCTACACGGGTGCCACAGAGTTTGGGCTCGAAGAATACATCGGAGCCTATGCTCCGAACCGGTGGAAACGGGTCGGGCTGACGACTGCTGTGGAGGGAGGACGGGGTTCAGCCCCGGTGAATCTGAGCGCGGGGCCTGCATTAAGCCCGGTGCGGCCACAGCTGCGGGCCACGAGGAAGGGCTGCGGGACTCCAGGCCTGCGCTGTGGCCTGTTTATCTCAGAGACTAAAGCTCTGGGAGCTTTGGAGGGACTCGAGTGCTTGGTCTGACCTCGGCCCCTCGCTATCTAAAACGTGCACGCCTAATCTTTATGCGATTAAAAAAAAAACACAACTTGTTTTTATTCATTCACTTTAATTCACAACTCAATCAGTTCTTTGTAATGTGTGTTGTTTAGGGAAATGCTATTTGGACAAGGAGAAGTACAAGCTAAGGTTTTGGTGGTTTTTTTTTTTTTGAGGAAAATTCAAGCAGAGTATATAACCAAATCTGTAATAATAAAAGAATAACTGTGAAAAAGCGTGCCTGTGTTCCACATTAAAATGCCAAAACCAGAAACACTCACAAACATTTCTAAAGCTAGAATCAAGTGTGACTTGAGACCGAAAGGGACTTGGTTAGTGACTCGGCCGAACAACCGTACAGATGAGGAAACTGGTGCGGAGTGGTTCTAGTTAGTCTCTGTCCGCTCAGGGATCTAGTGGCACCGTTTAGGGTTCCTAGCCCCGTCTCTTCTTAAATTACATCTCTCCGAAGACATGCTAAAAATGTTCTTATCTTTAAAGATTGTTTTCAAAAAGTAACTGATTTTAGACTACGAGGTTTTACTAAATAACTTGTCGAGAAAGTGGCAGGTACACTCCATAGTAATGCCAGAAGGTGGCGCTGTTTCCATGCGAAATAACATCTTAAAACTTCAGTTTCTGTTCATCTGTGCTTCAGATCAAAGTAAAATGAAGGGAAAATGAATTTGGTGGTTTCCACTTCATCAAAGTGAATTATAACATATTAAGCAACTGGTGTCCTTTTAAACATTTATATGTGTACCCATGGGCACTCACACCAGCACCCTGGAAAAACATGTTTGTATTTACATTCAAGTTGCATATTAAACTTTTAACAAAAACATTTCACGTATTTGAATCATTATTGTTATAGACATAGGAAAGTTTTTTCTTCCCACATTGTCAGGTGTTATTGTAGTTTCGAGCTCAATATCTTGAAATAGAGTAGTTTATTTTAAATCTGATACAGTAGATACTTTATGATAATTTTAGTAAGACATTCACCTATTAAATTTTTTAAATTGTGCACCTAGGCATTTAATTATATAAGTCAGAGGAATTTGCTTATTTTAAAAAAGGATGCTGTCCTAAGCCTTGAAGTTTTTCTACTCTATTTTTTCATTTGTGAGAGGCAAGAATTGTAATAATAAATTTCCTACTCTGATTACTTAAGGCTTATTTTTGTAGATCTAGTGCGTGTGTATATTTTTCATGGGCCCGAGAGTTAAATTGCAGCATGTGGATCCCAAAGCCGGTCTTCCTCTCGGGCTCTGCCTCAGGGCTCTCTGACTGCCGCCCCCCTGCTCAGAAAAGCAGTGGGCAGAGTTGAATCGCAGCTTAGCGAGGCCCACAGACCTGTCTCCGTACTGCCGTGATTCGTAGTTTTAATGACCCAGCTGTATGCATAGGATGTTAAATGTTACTTTTAGTAAAGATTGAGTGCTACATATTATTGAAAGCATAAATGTCCCCAGTTCTTATGAGAAGCATGGGCTGCCTTTATCAGAATGCATTCTCATGTTTTATTAGGGTTTCATTGTGTTAATTTTATTATACTTCTTTCAAAATAGTGATACATTGTCACTTTGGTCACTTTGAAGTTTTTTGATAGCTCAACCATGGTTAGGTCCCAAAAGTTGTAATTTGCAAGGTAGGTTATACTCACAGTCACTTCCCAGAGACTGAGAAATGCAATGCGTGTGTGTGTAACGTACATGAAGAATGGGTCTGCGATCGGCTGGGTTTGATGGTGCAGCATATTTTAAAATATAACTGAAATTCAAAATAGAACAGTTGTAAATACGCAAGCTATCAATGCAGAGCCTCTGTGAGAAATGAAAATGCCATGGCTGCTGTTAAATTAATGCAAATAAATTTAATGTGTTAAATGATTTTATGATTATACATTAAGTTTGGTCAATTTATGACCACAGTACATTTTTAGCTTGTTGCTTCTGAATATTTTGTATGTAGGGTTATTTTTATTATTGCTTAATATGAAAGCATAGTTGAATTAGTTCTGTTAAATCTACCAACTAATGATAAAACTAAGATTTTGAGTAAGTGGAAAAATATGTTTTGAAGAGCTACATACACACAAAAAAATGAAATATAGGTCTTTCTCAAATATTTGTCAATACCGCTTTATAAACATGTACAGGATGAGAAGTTCTGTGAAAACATGAAAACGTACTTTAACCCATTTATATATTTCTCTTGTTTTGATGAACTTGGCCTTTTCAACTGGAACAGTTCTCATCACCTGCCTCGTCTGTGCCTCATTCAAACGGCGCACACAGTAGTGAAGCCACATTTATCAGGTCACGTGTGAGTCGTGCACACTCGTTCTATCCTTTGTGCTGCGGTTACAAACTGCGTCGGACGGCGATGTTCATTCTTGAGTAAGGCGCCTAACCCACTTAACACCACCGAACGACAGAAGGGCTCCCTGAGCGCCAGAGTGCTGGGCCCGGCGCTGGAGAGCGGGCGGAGTGAAGACTGAGTGGGGTCTTCGTGATTGCTCTGTCCCGGTGTGGTCGTGAGTAGCGAGGCTAACTTTCCGCACCGAACTCGGGGCTGGTCTCTGTTCTAAGGTAGTTTTTCAGATGACCCAGCGTGTGCCTTTTTAAATAAACCTGTGCTATGTTGTCATAAAAATAAGAGGAAACTTGAAATCAAGCTTTATTTACTTAGTGTAGCTCCAAGAGTATTCCTGTAGACCCTACTGTGAGAAATAGCAGACTGGCATTTAGAGAGTTTAAGTGTAGTCACAGATTTTTGGTATTGTTAAAAATGAGGTGCACTTATAAGTTTGTATAATTAAAAGATCATTAATAAGATCAGTTCCTTTTTGTTTTTGGAATTGTACGTTGAGTCTTATTACTTTTCAGTTACCTTTAGTCTCCATTGAATTAATAAAAAATTATAACATTTAGCTTCTGGTTCCAAAACCAGAGAACCCAAAATGCGACTGTAACACAGAAGCACAGAAGTCGAACATCTCAGGGACGTAGGAAGAAGGGGCAGGTTCTACCCTAGGATGCTGCGCCTTAGGGAAGGGTGAGGGGCAGCCTGGTGCCCCAGGGCCCTGCCGGTCTCCTGGGGGCTGGGGCGCGGGGAGAGGTTTCCCGGGACTCTGGAAATGCCTCCGCC